ACCCTAAATTTCTCCCTAAGGTGGTGTCCACCTTCCACCTTAACCAACCAATATACTTTACCTGCATTCTATCCCAAACCTCATGAGACTTTGCACGAAGCGGCTCTACATATCCTTAACATCAGACGAGCAGTCGCCTTTTATCTAGACAGGATTAAACCATTTCGTAAGTCCCTGCAGCTATTTATCTCCACTACCGAGAGATCAAAGGGTATGGCTATCTCTAAGCAACACCTTTCCAAGTGGATCTCTAACTGCATCAGATCCTGTTACCGTATTCAGAATGCCCAACCACTCGAAGGTATCAGAACTCATTCTACTCAACCTATGTCAACATCCGTTGCCTTCCTCCATAACGTACCTATTCCTGATATCTGTAAGGTGGCCAGATGGCATCTGAATGCACATTTACCAAACATTATGCTATCACGCAGGATACCACAGCAGACACCATAGTAGGCCACACAGTACTGTCTACAGTCGTCACTACTTTGGAGTATTATTCTGACTTCTCCACAATAGAGAAGGAACTCTGTCTGGAACTGGGAATGCCGCTGTTCTGCAGCATGCAGGAGTCCAAGAAGAGCAGAGATAGACTTTCTCTCTAGATGCCCATGGAGGAGACATGCTGTAGGGTAAATAAAAAGGGATAATTAAAAAAAACAAAACAGTTTTTTAATTTGAGCTGGATTTTTGATGAAAATTAAATACAGGGTGGTTGTGGGTTTTTTTTTTAATAAAGCTATTTAAAATTAAATTTGAAAATGACAACCTATGGTGTAAGGCTTAACCGTACTATAATCTATGAAAATCATGTAAATACAAAAAATAAGCAGTACATGTTTGCTGCAAAGTTTTAAAGAATGTCAAACTACTGAACTGGTGGAAGTCACTGGCTAAGCATCTGGAACCAACGTTTGTAGAACTGCTAAACTAGCTTTTGGCATCAGTAGCCTCTTTTGCAGGTGCAGAGAGAATATTTTCTTCATTTCAGTTTATTCACCCATTTCAGTTCAATGACTGGTTCATTCAAAGTTAAGAAACTGATTGGGAGTTGAAAAAGCAGGAAAGCATGTTTTCCTCTGCCAATCTATGAATAAAAACTAGGTGTGAGAGGAGGAGATGTACTAGTTCTAAAATCTTGAAGGTCATGAGGACGTGAAACAATCAGTTCATTCACTGACTACAAATAATACTTTCTTTGTTTCACAAATCAATTAGTTTTAACCATAAAACATGTTTTGGTAAAACTTTTTTTGTATCCAGCACATTTAAGGTAGTTTTATTTAATAAAAAAATAATAGTCTGGTTTTGTGCACCTTTAACTGAAGTTGAATTTCCATACAACTAGCGCTTGACACAAATCACAACTAAAATATTAATCATCTAGGAAATGCATCAATCAACATTTTCTAACATAAAAATGACCAAAAATTAAGAATCTAAACAAATGTAAATTAAGCTATATAATTACTTAAATGAATATGTATAAATAGACTATATCTTCCTGGTTAGCAAAAAGGAGCACCAAATTTAGTGGAAAGGCTATATTTAGTTACAAATCAACATGTTTTAATGGATACCAGCCAATGTGAATCAATCTGTTTACAAAAATAACTTAAAAGTTCAAATGCAAAACACAGTTAAAATCGATGATTTAAATCAAGATTTTCTGCTTACTGATTTAAATCGCTTTCTTTTAAATCAATCCACCCTGATGCTGTGGCTGGGGGATGATCTTTGCAGAGCCCTGGTTTCATCTCCTGTGGATCCACTGGCTACATGCACTACATGGCACAGGATCATAGTAGCAACTGAGGAGTGCTACATTGGAAAAAACAATAACACTGCTGCAAGTTTTAGAGCCAGGGTCAACTGACTTGATCTCACGGGATTCACAAATGGAGCTAGAAATAGCAAGTGTAGATATTCATACTCTGGCAGGTCTCAGAGCCTGAGCGGGAATGTCTGCACTGCTATTTTTAGCCCCAAGGCATGAGCCCCGGAGCCCAGGCGAGCTGACCTGAACTCTGAGACTTGCTGTTGCATTTTGTTTTTGTTTCTGTTTTTGCAGTGTTGATGTAGCCTCACTGTACAGGTACCCAGGTCACTGCCTCTTAGCTGGGGGAAAAGAAGGAGGATTACTTCTTCCAATCCCTGCATTGTCTCCTGCACAAGATTCATTTACTCAGGCTTTGAAGGAGGCTGTTCACATTTCTCACTGTATTATAGCACGCACATGTAATAGAATGTTGACAAGATGTGAGCTTTGAGTTCTGGATAATTCACTAATGACACTTGAATAGGCATTCATTATTTAAAAATCAGTTCCCCTTGGAAATGTGCAGTTGAAAAGTATTAAACTTATTAAGTAATAGCAGAATGAGGTTTCTTTTTTCTCAGCCCTGTAGGTCTGTCTGTCTTCAAATTTCACTTTCAAGAAAGAACATCCTTTGAAAGAGAGAGGCTTTTTGTTGCTTTTTCCCTCAGAGTTCAGCATATAACTGCAGTTTGTGTTACCTTTGCTCCAGCCTGTTAAAACATTACAGCAATGTCATTTCAAATTACTTGTTGAAAAAACAGCTTGTCTTATTATTTTGTTCAGTAGTGCCACAGAACTAAAAAGGCTTTTTGTGGTCCAACAGGGGATATTAGACATGCATCTCAATAATCAGCAATACTGGAAAAGGAAATACAGAAAAACTATAAAAGTTCACTGGAATTTGAGTAAATTCCCAACTTTAACTGTGAATCTGTAACTTTTTTTTTTCAATCCAGACAGTATATAGGTAAACTCATATATGATAGCTAGTATGCATCACTTGTTTGCATGCCAAAGATGATACAGAGATTGCAAGGACTGTAGAACTCATTCATTGTGGAACACATCACATAGAAAACAAAGGAGACTATGCAGTGTAATTCCATTCCTCCACATGTATAATGTCCATTCATAGTGCTGTGATGGCAATGTTGGAAGGAGTAGGTATTGAACCATTTATAAAGGCCAAATCCTGTGGTCTTTACTTTAGAATTAGTCAGGCTAAACTTCCTTTTGACTTCAGTGGGATTTACACACGTTTAAAGTTAAGCATGCCCTTATATTTGCTTTGCTGAGTTAGGGTAATATGCTGGAACCAGGGGGGCCCAGGGGCCATGCCCCCCACACTTTTTTTTTTTTTTTTAAACAAAAAGAAACATATGCACTGTGGGAAAAACATGATTGTGCCGCTAAAGGCCAAGATGCACTATGAGATCGGATCAGATGCGTTCCTAGATATCCACTGCAATCCTAGATAATCGCGTGATCAAAATTGCATTGTTTACATTTTTTGCTTAATAGAGATCGTATTCCTTCTATCTCTACAGCCTGTTGATGGTGTTTGTTAGGTTTTCTAAAAATATATTTTTGATTTGTTTTTTTTATAAAACACTAGAAAAAAAACATTTTTATGGTAGCTGTCAGATGGGGACATGTTTACCTCCCTTCAAAGCTGTTTGTTTGTTTGGCTGATGCCTTTTTCCAAGGAGATTTACAATTTAAGGTTACAATTTTTAAGCTATGCATGATGATTTTGTTGTAATGTTACAGAATTGCAAGTTACAGTTCAATAATATTAATTAGTGCAGTATGAATAATGGAATGTATGTAGTAAAATGATAAATGCAAGTGAATGAAGTACAATAAAAGAAGTGCAAAAATAAAATGCAGTCCTGATGTTTAGAATGAAAGTGGTCTTATTTTTTTTCATTTGTGCATACTATAATTATACCTTAAATGTTATAATATGGCTTCCTTTTGTATTCTGGTCACTTATGTTACAGTTGTGCTCTGTGGGATATTTAAATAGTATTTTAATTCCCCTGCCACTTTGACCTTGGCCGCCCTCCCCTTCCACTTCTACAAAGGTTGCGACGCCTATGGTCAGGGTTTATGTAAGGCTCTCAAGATTTGGGCTTAAATGAGGATATGTAAGCCTTAGACATGTGAGTGATGCTTACATGAATCATTTCCTCCTCCCCTCAGTGCAAGCATAGACTTTACTCCAGTATCACACAAGTCCTCAGTTTTCCTTCCCTATCCCATGAAATACTACACTGCCATAGGATTTTTGTTATCTCTAAATTCTCTTTAATTCTGTAATTCTAATCTTATGCTCTGTTTCTATATTTTAAAATTGCTTCACGTTTTCTTTCTGTAAGTTACCTTGGGCACACTTTGTGTAGGTTAGAACTGTATCAAACAATATCTTCCCACAAATAGGGAGCATGCGAACTTTCAGAGCAGCAGACCATCTTCCCTGAGGGCAGGTCTACACTAACCCCCCAATTCGAACTAAGGTACGCAACTTCAGCTACGTGAATAACGTAGCTGAAGTTCGAAGTACCTTAGTTTGAACTTACCTCGGTCCAGACGCGGCAGGCAGGCTCCCCCGTCGACTTCGTGTACTCCTCTCGCCGAGCTGGAGTACCGCAGTCGACGGCGAGCACTTCTGGGTTCGACTTATCTCGTCCAGACAAGACGCGATAAGTCGAACCCAGAAGTTCGATTTGCTTGCCGCCGAACTACCAGGTAAGTGTAGACCTACCCTAAGAGGATCCATGATGACAATAGTAACTTGAAGACTTAGATGATAGAAAATTTCAATGCCTGAAGTTACTGGAAAACCTAAACAAAGAGATGTGCCTTACGCATTGCTCTAGATCTGGGTCCAAGATGCATATCTGTTTGAGTCAAATTCCAGAGACAACTGAGAATTTTTTGCCTGTGATTCCCCATGAGGTTTACTTTTGAGTCACTTTTTTGAAGTGTTCTTTTATAGACTTGTTTCCATGGTGGGTGTTAGGAAGAGAGCAGATGCTGAGATTACTAGGGTCTATACCATTTAGGGCTTGGTTGATAATAAGCAGTATGTTTTTTTTCCAGTCGGCTGTTTTTCCATTTACTGAAGTACACTGGTACAAAACTTTTCTTTCTTTCTTTTTTTCTTGGTACTCAGATGAGTATAGGATCAAACCAGTGGAAGAGGTCAAATACATGAAAAATGGGGGAGAAGATGATCAGAAAGTAGCTGCCAGGAACCAGGAAAATTTGGTAAGGACTGAACTTATCACTTATTTAACAAAATTAACATGAACATGACTCTGTCTTTGTAATGAAATATGCAATGTGCAGTATGTTTATATTACAGCTTACATGCTGCAAAAGGATTTTCTTGAAAATGCCATAACTATGTATAGCTTGCATGGAAGGTGCAAATATTTCCTGCTTGTCTTTATGAATTAGCCTGTACTTGATCTTGTGGAGAGTGCTTCAGTGGAAGTAGTGTTTGTATTCAACTCCTTTGCAAATATAAATATATGCAGGTCATGATGAATGTGTCTGTGTGCAAAAAGCAACAGAGGGTCCTGTGGCACCTTTGAGACTAACAGAAGTATTGGGAGCATAAGCTTTCATGGGTAAGAACCTCACTTCTTCAGATGCAAGTAATGGAAATCTCCAAAGGCAGGTTTAAATCAGTATGGAGATAACGAGGTTAGTGCAATCAGGGAGGGTGAGGTTGCACCCTGACCCAGGGTGAGGTGGCACCCTCCCTGATTGCACTAACCTCGTTATCTCCATACTGATTTAAACCTGCCTTTGGAGATTTCCATTACTTGCATCTGAAGAAGTGAGGTTCTTACCCACGAAAGCTTATGCTCCCAATACTTCTGTTAGTCTCAAAGGTGCCACAGGACCCTCTGTTGCTTTTTACAGATTCAGACTAACACAGCTACCCCTCTGATACTCTGTGTGCAAAGGAGTTCTTAAAAATACTGAAATTCACTGGTGATCCGAAGAAAACTATCTACTTTAGGAACACATCTATACTTTAGTTTGTGCTTCCCTACTGTGAATTTTTAAATTTGCAAAATCAGGTGCTCAGAATAAGTAACGTACCCATAAAACGGGATTGTCAAAAATCGGTGTTCAGTAATTTGATTGGAGATCAGTTTTTTTCTTGTTTATCATCACATTAGTATTATCCTCAAGATTTACCCTTATATAAAAGTGTATTCAGGTAACGCACACAAAGGCACTCTTAGTGCAGACAAAGAGGGAGTTAGTGTGGAGTAGGTAATTTGCTGTAATTTAAATTCACACCCTTGCTAACTCCACACTAATTTCCCTATGTAGGCGAGTTCTAATTATGTTACTGTTGTTTATTCTTGGGGGGGGAAACAGGTTTAGGTGAATCATGTCAGGCTTGACTTCCACATGGAAGTTTCTTTTTCTTTTTAAGCTCGAAATAGAGGGGTCTGGAGGCTTGATCTAGGTACTACTTTCAAAGACATTTTAAAATGCTGTATTTTGTCTATGTAACATTTCAGATTTCTGGGCCTATTTCTTCAACTGAGCTTTTTTCATACAGTTTTTTCCCTTCAGGTATACTGAGGGGAAGATCATCCGCTAACTTCAGTGGAGCTATAACCATTAACACCAGCTAGGGAATCTGCCTGTCAGAGTAACTAGATGACTCTTGGGAATGTCACCATTCTAATATTTTTTCATCACTGGTGCTCCAGGCAATCCCACCTACTGTACATTTCTCTCCTAGGTGTGTATTCTGGAGATTGCAGTACAAAACTACAGTACATTACTGTAGGTAAATATCTCTGTTCACCTTGTGTGCTGTTCCAGCCTGATATTTCAGATTGTGGTTGAAGGCCACTGAACAGCACAGAATATGATTTTCCTCGGTCTCTACTCTAGATATATGATATATGATTTCCAGTTTGCAGTTTTGCATTGGTGATATTCCATTGGACAGCACAAATTTAGCTTGCAGCAGGATGTTTTTAGTGTGCCTAAGAAACATTGCTGAGAACATCACTTTTTCTAGCAGTATCTGCAGTGTCTTCAGCCTTATCGCAAACGTAAGCGTGTTTGTTTTTGTTTAACTACTTTTAAGAAATGCTGCTGCAAAAATTATCAGTAATTTTGAAGTCAGAGATGCTGTATTGGTGAGTGTAATGGAAGAGAAATTGAGAGCTGCTACTAGTTTTCTGATAAATGGAAAGATGCAGATCAGTGTGGTTGTAGATTGGCTGCCAGCCTTAAGTTATACAGCATAATTTAGAGAAGAATAAGATTCCATTTAAATGACAACCAGGAAGACTTTTAGAAGTCTAGGTGACATTTGGAAACTGGATTGATAATCTTGTGCTTTATTAGTGCCTGCTTTCTTGTTGTAACGTTTAATTCTTGTATTGGTTATATTTATTAAAAGAGAGATTTCTGTAGAAAAGTTTAATTTTATGTATATAATGTATTGACAGGTAGTTTTTGAGTGAGGTCGCAGATTTCTTGGGAAAAAAGTTTTAATATGAGGATTGGGGAGAATGATACCACTCCTTAATCTATAGAAATCTACAAAAACAAAGTGAAACCCTTTAATCAGAGAGGATGTTTATACTTGATATAGGTTTTTTAAAAGATAAAAAACATATCTCAGACATCCAGACAGTCGGTTTTTCACTTTCTTTTCGTCTTAGTTCCATTATTAAGGATACAGCATCTCCCTCTGTAAATGTGTACAGTTTGTTAATCCTAGGAATTGACAAATCATTGGCATTTTAGATTTTTAAAGCTGAAGATTCCCTCTAGTAAACTTAAGTTCACAACTTAGAAGATAGGTTAAGTCATGTATCATTAAGGCTTTAGTTTTCCTAATGGTTGTAAAGTTGACAATCATCAGTTATTTAATCTTGACTCTTCATCAGGCACTTCTAGGCAACTGAAGTTTTAGGCTATGGCTACACTATGCAGCTTTTAGCGACACGGCTCTGCCACTACAGCCATGCCACTAAAAGCCGCACAGTGTAGCTGCTGTTTGTCGGCAGGAGAGAGCTCTCCTGCTGACAAAAAAAATCTTCCGCCTCTCATGAGTAGCAGCAGCTTTGTTGGCAGAAGAGTGCTTTTTTTTAACACTCCTGAATGACAAAAGTTTTGCTGACTAAGTGCCAGTGTAGACGTACCCTTGGGAACAAGAAAAAGCTCTGGGAGAATCACGCAGCCCACATCCCAACCCTTTTTCTTAATCCCACATTTCTGCCTTGTCACTATGCTCCCCAAACTCCACCTCCTGTGGAAAAGGAGTTAAGATGAGGTGTGTAGCTTGGATTCAATTGTATTTTGCTTCAATCACTTTCTAGGGTAACTGACTCTATGTGTTACCTTTGCCTGAAGTAGTTCTGCTTGAATTTCCTATTTACTCTTAGTTACCTATGAAAGTGGCTGGTGCAAGTGAATTCTTTCTGCAATTTATTCAGTCCTCCTCCACTCCACTGTTATGCTATAACAAAACAAAAAATATAGCACCAGCTTTTCAATGTTCGGGTGCAATTGTGTGCATACATTTGTGCGAGCATAATGTATGCAAACACACAGAGCCCTCTTGGTACCTAAAATGGCTATTTGTGCATGCAAATACATGATTTGCACGTACACACAAATGAGCAGTGCAAGGCTGTTGCACCTAATTTACGAACTCTGGCCCATAATTTCAGTCACCTATCATTAAATGAATTAGTCTTTTATTAAATCAAATGAATTATCTTCACGGGACTAAGGTTTTTATGCCATACTAGCTGTAACCCCAAATGGAAATAATTTTTATCAGTTGCTACTTTTAGATTGCTACTCAATAGATTTAGCTAATGGATCTATCTAGAAGCAAAAGCCAGTGGTGCGTAATGTACCAGTTTATTTGTACTTAAAAAAGGCATGGCTAAATAATAAAACTGGGACAAACTAATATTTTAAAAACCAAACAAAGTCTTGGTTGAAGACATCTCTAGTACATGCGGGTCTTACTGCAATAAATAACACAAGTTTGCCAGCTTTAAAGACCCATTAATCTTTTCTTTAGAACTCATTGTTTAGCTTGACAGCATCATATTAGGTATACAAAAGTACCATCATAACAGACTAATTAACATTCATAATAGGACTAATTTAATTGTCCTCATTTACATACCCATGGAGTGCTAATGGCATTTCATTGTGAAATTACACTACTGGATAAGGTAAAATACCTTAAAATACCTTAAAGGTAAAGTACCTTCTATTCATGCAGCTTGGCATTCTTTTTCCAAAATGTAATGAGCTATATTGGTTTTAATTTGAAACAGTTTGCTACAGTACAGATTCCTCTTTGTATAATCATCTTATGTTTTCAAACATTTAACTTAATAATCTTGGGGGGGAGGGTTACATCTTAGATTTTTTTGCAACTTCTACTTGTCAAAATCTCTACTTGCTATATATATAGATAAATAGATAGCCTATAAGGGCTATATGCTAGGATTTGCACATATTATCAACTAAACCTACCAAACAGTTTGACACAACCACACATCTTGACTTGAGAGAAGCTAAGTACTGGAATAGCAGGGAAGTTACAGGTCAGGGCTAAGACAAATTCACAGAGGAGTTTGTAGACAATTGAATGAGAATCGCTTATATACTTGATTGTTGCCAATATCTCACTCAGTTTCATGGGGCGGAAAATCACGTATTTTTCTTTCAAGATGTATTAGTTTCCACAGCAGTTACTTGAGAATGTAATTTGTGCCACCTGTACCTACGCAGTTACTTTTAGGCTATGTTTTGAACTCAGACCAGATTCTAGTCTCAGTTGGATCCATGCAGTCATTTACTTAATTGATATTTAGTATTTCAGAACTTCAGTTTTCACTCTTCTGTAGCTGATCATTGTCATCATCATAATCAATTATATGCTTTTTAAAAAATTAAGTAATAGCTAGCAAATAAATGAATTGTATCAAGTTAAAAATCCAGTAGAAAATGATACTTCAAAGGTTTATTTAGTATCTTTAGTAATATAATATTAAATATCTATATATTTATAATTATAAATATTTAAATATATGTATATTTTGTATTATATATATCAGTATAGTATACTATAATTGTTTATATATACTACAAAAATACTGATATTTACATTTCTGTATTATGAAATAATTTTTTTAAATGATTACTAAATTATCTACAATGGATGTCATTTAAAACAGTAAATAAGTTACAGT